TAGTAAGGCACCTGTTACTACTAGCGTGGCACTTGTTACTACTAGCGTCTCTGTTTCGTTCGCCTGAGAATAGAGAGGATTCTGGCCCCAAAGAACTACCGTGCGTCCATCCACAGTATTCACCTCAATCACGGGTCTGGCGGCAAAACCTATTTCTTTGCGGTGAAAGCACTGACTGAGCGCTCCGCAGCTGTGCTAAGAAATGGTTGCAAATGAGCCTCAGCATGGGAAACTGGATCAAAAGTTATGAAACTGTCCCATCTCACATCATTGACTGTTGATTGTTGGCCTCCGCATTCACTCTAACTTGAGGGCAAGAGCCCTATGATCCATTTTCGTTCATCTTCCAAACTGTAATTCATGGATTTGGCTTCAGAGGAGGGCAACCGTACAGTTCCGGCAAAACTGTATCTAGCCCAAAAAGTAGACGGCTGGCGGAACTTGCTTCGCAAAACCCTTGCCTTGAAAATTGAGTGTACAATCCAGGTGGGACGTAGGGGAACGCCCAGGCAATCCTCTCAACAGGTAAGTGATAAAAGAAGTATGCCAGATCCCTGGATGCACGATCGATATTTATTATAACCCGGGGGGAGTCCGAAGGGCGAGTACCCGTGGTTACGAAGTGCAGGCGAACGAACGCGCGACGGCGAACGGACGAGAGCACGAAAGGCACGAAATGCAGGGCACGATAGCGGAGCGAAGGTGCACCCAGACACAGTCCAGTGTGCACGGCACCCTGCGGAAAAGGGCAGCGGAAGTGCACCTTTTCCTTGAGCCAACGCGAGCGACGGTCGGGTACAATGTTGTCATGTACCTTGGTGAACCGTAGCTAGCTAGATAGACATGTATGAGGATGCTGTTACATGTTAGGGGTCGTAGAAAAATGACTTTGAAGGAACAAAATTAGATTGTGCATTATGTTTATACATCACCGGCAAAACATGGTGCGTTCAGAGGATCCAATTTGCATCACGTACAGCCAACATTGACGCATGTAAGATGCATACTGCAATGCGCCTTCAGCAAACGTAATCGAACTTTGGTTGATCTTGTTCGGCATCAGCAACCTACAGCCTACACCATTGGTTACACAAGGACCAGCCAGCGTCAGCAACAGAATTTGCAGATCGGCATTTGTTCTGTGCTGAAGAATGTGTGGAACATTGAATAATGTCAAGAGTCAAAATTCATGATACACCCTACATGACTTCACCTCATCTCTCTTTGGGCATCAAAGGCCAAGAGCCATGGACTTTCTGCCGGGCTTACTACCTGCCCACGATTTGGTTGATTTCGTGCGTTTGCACACAGCGAGAAGCAAGTTAACTATAAAAACGGGATGCCGAAACTAGGTAGTCGTTTCTGGAAAAATGCAACCCTTCCACAGATTCCGTCTTGAAAGCGGGACGGTTTTTTCGAGGCCGAATGATATGTTTTTAAATACGCGGAATGGACAGCATAAGTGAAAGTTCCAGCTCGTACGGATCACACATTCAGAGCACCGGAAGTGTACTGCAAGGTTTTTGCCTTCCCACATTCAGAGTTTGCGAAACTGCTGTGCGGTATGCGTGAGCAACCTTTGGGTTCCGATCTCCCATCTCCCCAAAAATAGTAAAAAGTCAGATGCACCCCTGTGTCAAGTCTGCGGTTCAAAACAACCAAATATTTCCTAATGAATCAAATGACAATGTTGTGAAATCGAAAAGTTTCTGATGAAATCGATGACAATGCTCTCCGCATGGCATCCGCGTCCTCATTCCAGCTCCCAACACCCCCAGCCCCCCCACCTCATTGTAATCACACGACTTAATCGATGACAACATCCATTCATGACAATGTAGGGAAACTGAAGATTATGAATTGTGGGAATTCGATGACAATGTTCTCCACCGAGATGCCAGAAAAACACATCAAAAGCACAAATAGCCCAAAAAGTGGGTCGGGTAACGAAGCCAACAGCATATATATATATACATGCTTGGCAAACGAAAATGGAAGAAGTGGACGGATGAAAACTTGATTGGACATTGATGGAGAGAGCCAAAGCCTCATTTTGCAATAGCGCAGATCACGGCACTATGAAGTCAGCACGCTTTGTCAGTGGATCCAAGTTGTTCAAATCTCAAACGAAAGGTAGGATGTTGCTTTTGCTGCTTTGCTTGATTCCCTTACAATGTCTGAGTTTTGCTGAACCTCATACGCTACTGACTTCAGGGCCTTACATGCTTGGTCATCAAAAATAGATTGAAACTTTGAGGATGGAAAACCTGGGATTCCAGCATCAGGTCGAAGTCTCAGCTCTTTGGTAACTTCCAAGTCGCAACCCCGACGTTCCAAGACCTGAAAAGTGTTCCGCCCCATTGCAAGCCCTTCAAGACTGTGACCATTCCCTTTTGCTGTTCAACATTGTTCAACCGTTCTTCCTGGACCTAACCTAGAAAGGAGTTTTTTCAGCGCGTTGGCATGGCCTTGTGCGGCTTTGACCTGATGAGAAACCGCAGCACGTCTGTCTGCGTCTCCAAGTGCATGTCACCACCTTTCATCTTGCACTCCTCAGCTGTCGTGATTTGGGATGCGATGCTTGTCTCCTTGTGCTGAAGTGTTTATTCTCAAAAATGACTTTGCAATGCAGTCAAAAGATCCAAAGGCTCTTCGGCGCCTCACAAATCCGTACCGGAACTGTCCGCCAAACCCTTCACTTCAAACAAGTGAACCCAGAACTGCAGCAACTTCATGCAACTTCCAGTAGAGTACTGGAGCTAGTATAGTACGGCTGGAAGTTCACTAGACAAAGCTGGCGTGCAATAGTTTTGATGACAATCATTGCCGCGCCTTTGGGAACATCAATTCGAAAACTCTTGTCTTCATAAAATTCTTGAAAATCTCGGATCACACGGCGATTCCTCCCGCAAGGTACTGGCGCTCGGCTGAGTACTAGTTTGCACAGCAAAAAGTAGCAGCTTCTCTCCTCAGCAAGCTCTTGGCACCCCCATAGAAAAACTTTTCCAACTTGCAGAGAACCTGAAGACTCAGTCAGTATGCTCACATTGCTTGACATATGATGTGAGAATGCTCATGGACTTTTAACACAGAAAGCTTTCTGCGCCTCAACATCAATCTCCCTTCCTGGTGGTTTGTAATGCCTTGCAGCTTTACAACAGGGCACGTCACAAAGCACAAAGAAGCCCGCTATCAGTGCTATCAGTGTATGAAAACACCACCTTGGTACTTTCAAGCTGTCAAGGGGCTCTTGAATCTTCTTCATCATCTCAGTGGCATCGAAGGGAACTCTGTCCTTCCTTTTCTTGTATCCGTTCACCTTGTTGCAGGATGTTGCACGGCAATTGCAAATTGTCTGACAAAGCATGCGAACAGTTGTGAGCACATGCATGGGAAGAATGCACATGAGATCAGTCGTGAGCACAGATTGGACACCCTCGCGCCCTTAGGTATCTTATATAAATCCTCTTATTTTTTCACTGTGGATGTAGCCAGACTGGTTACTGCATATCACCAGGTGAGCGCTCTTGATACTCCAATTGCACGTGTTCTGCAATCTGATCCGATCGAAGCTGCAGCATTCCCTGTTTCTCTGTCATGTCGTTTGAGAGTCCCTGAAATTTAGGTTCTTGTCCGTTCATTGACCTCAACACTCATGCACTGTTTGGATTTGTCAATCAAGCAGCGTTCCAAAGAAATTCCAATGTATTACAGTATCTTTCACTCTCAATTTCTGCTGAACCATATTTCACTTGTAAAAGGCCTAGAGTTATGTCGGGCACGCCAGCCATAGATACAAGGAGCCAAAATAGTTTATAAAGCAAAAACAAAGCAAAAAAAAAGCAAAAGGCAAAGCAAGCAAAAAGGCAAAAAAAATGTAGCTGTGCGTATTTGTCGCTTTTTTTTCACTTTTTTGTCGCTTTATTTTCGCATCTTTTTCGCTTTATTTTCGCTTTTTTTTCGCTTTTTTCCTAGGAGGGTACAGCAAAAACATAGTTGTCGCTTTTTTTTCACTTGTTTTTTCGCTTTATTTTCGCATTTTTTTCGCTTTATTTTCGCTTTTTTCGCTTTTTTTTCGCTTTTTGTTTTGCTTTGTTTTTGCTTTTTGCTTTGTTTTTGCTTTGTTTTTGCATTTTCATTTGCTTTTTATTTTGCTGTTTTTTCACTTTTTTTCACAAAAAAAATAATTTGATGGTTGGCCATGTATGGCTGCCATCGCCCAACATAAGCCTAGAGATAGGAAGACTTCAAAGAGCTTCCAAGAAAACCGTTTGGATGAACCTGGAGCAAGCAGCGATCCAGGATGCTCTAAATTGTTCAAAAACGGTGGACTTCACGTGTGATTGACCCATCAGTTCCAAGCTTGCTTTGGCTTGTGGAACCAAATCGTGTCCGTTGCATTCATTGCGATGCGAACTCTTTCAATTGTGTTTGGATGTTCGAATTGTGTTTGGCTGTCTCTAGATGCCTCTCATCGTTCAAAGTAGACGTGAACATCAGCGAGATCAATTTCTGAGTGTCAAGCCTCGCTACCAGCTGTTGCAGAGTCCCGGTCTCTGTCATATTGCCGTCGCGTTGCCTCTAGTCTCGGAACCAACTGAGGGAAGAAACGAGACTGGCTCATCTGGCCGAATGTGGTCGGCCTGGTCACCAAGCACCAAGTATGCATTCCTGAGAGAAGGATGTTGGCAAAGACTCATACCTCTCTGATAGTAATGTATAGAGCTCTGGACTTGATTTCAATGAACACTCCAGCTCTCTCTTCAGCCTCCTGCCAAAGGGAAAATCCTTTTGAAATCACTGTTCAACACATTCAAACCATTGGCAAAACACCTGAATCAGTCTCCTCTTTGGTCAAGCCGGACGTTTTGTCCGGGTGGTAAAGCAGCGAAAGCTTCTTGTAGGCCTTTTTACACAACAAATAACAAGTTCAGCACATTCTGACAATGAAGAGTGCTCCCAAAAGAAGGCAAACTCAATTTTGCCTTCTTGACTTCCTCTAGTGGGGCATACTCGTCTATGCCCAGTACCTAGAAAAGTTCAAAGCAGGTGCTCGCAGTTGCCAACCCATCACCGCGACTGACCGTATAGTAGTTGATGCCCCGATCGTAGTCAAATGCCTGGATGCTGTGAAGCAAAGTCACGAACTTCAGGGCTTGCTGAAGGGACTTGCAACACAGATCGCTCCTTTGGAGATGTAAAATCATCATCACAAGGCTGAAAGTCCTTGGATAAACAGCTTTTCAAGGACAATGAGTGAAGCCTCTCTTTCAAAGCTTCACCAAATCGACCGAGTAACGCGATCCGTCTGCTTGCGAAGCTTGTCACGTTCGCTGCTTAGTTTGGACCTTTGAACAGGACACCAGGCTGCTACCCTTCAGCCTCTAAGCGCCTACGGCGTACCTAACACTCAGGCTGGTACGTATATTCTTCTTGCTGGCGAGCCTGCCAATACTGTACACTGTGACACTGCATTCATTCTTCACACTCAAAAGGAAGACCAGCGCACCTTGACCATAAAAGGGCTTGCTTCAAAAGTTTTTGCTTGCCTTGGGAGATTCGATCATGAAGCACTTTGGAATATGTAACGTTTACGGGGTAATGTCATTATCTATATATATATATAATTTCATATAATATATACTGTAACGAGTGACACCTCAGCTGCAAGCTCTGCAGACATTTTGTGTCCGCCATGTTCGATCCCTTTTGTTGCCAATTCATTTTGCCTGAGATGCCATCACTAAACGGTTTTCACTCTAAGATTGGAACCATGCAAGTAAAACTACACCGAAAAAAATACAACATTTGCATGTCAGCTGGTTTTGCCCTACCAAACGAGACTTCGTGTGACAAGTTGAGGTGTAAAAGCACAACAACATTTAATGCCCTGCATTTTAAGCATTTCCGCGCCTGAAACTGTACGTACCATCAAAAAGCGTGACCTCATAAACATGCAGACCTTTTTTGCCAAACAAACTTGCAAATCTGTTTTGTTGAAATCCCATACTGTGGCAGAATGCCCCAAGGATTGGCAATAGAAGGGGAACTTCACCAACCGCATCTCCAACATGTGTCGATCGGAATCAAGATTGAAAATTTCAATTCCTGAGCCCACCACTGACATGAGGCCAATTCTTTCTGACTGTGTTCGTCGCAAATTACAATTCTGAAGAACACAACTTGCCAAAAAATATCAACAAGATCTGTGCACCGTTCAAATGCATGATTGAAATGTGCGACATGTTGAAACTCTGCATGGCAATGTTGAAAACACAAACTGTTGAAAACACCAAGTCCTTCCATACTTGTCCATTGCTTTGAAAAAGATGCAGCGGATGGATACGGTCCCGAAACTCTATGATCCTCCCACATCTTCGACACAACCCTCTGGTGAGTTGACACTGCACTTCAAACAAAAAAGATCAACTTTGGCGCCGGCGCCACGGATCAATTCACACCAATACGATGGTGTAAAAAACGTTAGAACCGCTATAGTAGGTCCTTCATGTAGCGTTTCGGGCAGTTTTCAAATTCTTCTTGCAATACTGCCGTGTCTAGTAATGCATTTCAATGTTACAAAATTACAAACGGCAAAAATTTCATGCAATTTGGATTCCATCCAATGCATGTTACCATGATCACACAGGACTGTTCCATGATGAGCACAACGCAACATGAAATCGTTTGGTTCAATCACGTGAACATGATTGTTTCCTGGTTACCTTACCAACTGCTAATCACGTTGTCCAAACTGCAAAAACTGCCAAAAAACAACATCTGCAACACGTCGAGATTGGAAACCAAACATGCTGTCTCTTGTCAAACATTCTTCGTTTTCCACATGTCCATGTGCTGTTGTGTGCATAATTGGAGCAGGGCACTGCCAGCACATCAACAGGCCCAAACATTAAAAACACACTTTCATCTGTGGGTGGCCACGAGTTTTTCAGGCCGTGGGTTTCGCCGTCTGTACGAAGCAGGACACAAATCTAGACGGTTCAAATCTTCAAGAAACACGCCCGGAACAAAAATCAGTTTTTTCCTATAGCAAACAAGTGACTACGTCCATCACTTTATGAGGTCTGTTCATGCACTTTCTGTCTTTGCAAAACTGCTGAAGACTGAAGAGCGCCTCTTTGGGTGCTACGAGTTCTTTTTCCTCTTGTCTGATCATTGTCCTCCCAGTGCTTCAAAACTGATTTGTCACATCCTGAAGAACTCTAGCATGATCTGCACGCCCAGAAAGTCAAAAAAAATCATTTCCAAAGACTTTTTCCGCATCAATGCGTGCATTGCGGACGGCACCATCGCCAGTGGCAGTGAGCAAAAACGAGCCTTCTTGTCTTGATCTGCTGGGAAAGTGCGGGGGGAGATTAAAGGAAATGTTTGCTCAGAAAGTAAGCAGTGCATTCCATGCAAGTCCCACGGGTGAACAACATTTGATCCCCCACGCGTGGGGAATTTTCAAAGGGATGCGTCTAACTTGCGCCAATACACTCCGAGAAATGTTTTTGTGTTGTGGCCTTTGATTGTCCAATGAATGTCAAAACATAGGCTGCATTTTGGTGCCTTTTTTGTCGCTAAATGTCCTGCACCGCCGCAGAGGGCCTTCCCCGTTTCACAAGCACATGGGCAATGTGGAAGCATGTGGAACAATGGAATGTGGTGCACCGACCATAATCGATGAGCTTGAACTGCAGCAGCCGAGGTTTTTTCTGGTGCCACAAGCTGGCTTCGAATTCAATGATCTGGTGTGGCAAGAATGATACTGACAAACCCTGATGCATGTTGTGTGGGAGTTTGGGCGGAGCACCTGCAAGCGGAAATTGAGAATGAGACCTTTTCATGGTTGCAACAACAACCACCACCACTCTCTGCAGGTTCTTGTGCGGCGTCGGCCGCTAAAATCGAGGATCAGCCCGCAGGACGCCGCCCAAGGCGGATGCCAGCAGAGTAAAACGATCTCTGCCACTGCGGTGGTGGGCGGGCTTCGAAGTGCCCCACGAGGGGGCAATGTATGAAACACAAGGGGGGAATTGAGTCTTGAAGAGTGACCCACAAGAGAGTCCTATAAGAGTGTCCCACAAGAGTGTCCTACAACAGTGTCATTTGGACATATGTAGTTTTTCGAACGTGTTTGCATTCGGGTTCGTGGGTTCCATCTTGTTTTTTTGCGCCTTAGCACCCTGCCGCTTTTGGGGTTATCCTTGCCTGCTTCTTAAAATGGTTTCACTCATGCCTTGAAACATGTGTTTGATTCGTTTTTCATCTTCAACACACAATCACCTATATTTCAACATCCGCCGCATCGATGTTTCAATGTCTCCATTGGGAGACGTGTCATTTTTCTTGATCATACTAGCAAAACAGCGTCGCAACAACGACCCTAAGTCAAAAACGAAAAACCTTTTGACAATATTACAAGAACAACAAATGACACAGTGGAACTAAACAGCGAAACCACAACCAACCCCAAAAAAAAGTAGAGAAAAAACATTTTCACAATGCAATTCTTACATGCATTTTGCAATGAAAACTCAAATGACACCAGACAGAAACGTCAGTCTCCACCTCTCTCGGCAGAATCATGCCCATGCACAGCGCTATGCGAGAAATTGCTGCATGCGTGGAGTCGAACTGAATCAAGTTTCGTCCAAGAACATTTTGTCCAATTACGTTTTGTTTGAAGAAGTTCTTTGTCCACATTGACCATCAAGTGCATTCATGGACGCTTACATCCAAGAGAAAGGTCAACACTCAACTTCGCATGGTTGTTGTGGTTGGTGTTGGGGTTGTTGTGCTGTTTTGGTTGTTGTTGATGTTGTTGTTGTGGTTGTTGCCTTGGACGAGAAAGCAGAACTGCGAACAAAACTGCAAATGATGCCAAACAATTTGGGTTGCGTAACTTGCACCTTGAGGCCACGTGGCCCTCAACGGGAATGCAAAAAAACGTTTTGCCTTGGCTAAGTTGCAAAAACGCTGAAAACAGTGTGCTTTTTCGATGTTCTTGTGCGTGCGTTTGCACGCAAGAGCGAAAAAGAATCGTATTCGCGAGGTTTC